GCCTACGGCAAAGCCGTCAGCATAGATGGAAATCTATGCCGACGGCAAATGCTGTCAAATGAATTGAAAAAGAGAAAACGGGGAAAAACTATGCCTACGGCAAAGCCGTCGGCATATATAAGCCCAGGAGTTAACAGGACGCGCCACGTGGCAGAGCTATGCCTATGGCAAAGCCCTGCCGCCAGGAGAAAACCAGGGGCCAACACGTGGCAGTGCTATGCCTACGACAAAGCCGTCGACATAGATTGCGTCTATGCCTACGGCTTTGTCGTAGGCATAGCCCTGCCACCAGGAGGCATCATGGAATGCCACGTGGCACAGGTATGCCGACGGCTAAGCCGTCGGCATAGATTTCTACCTATGCCGACGGCCAAGCTGTCGGCGTACCTCTGCCACTTGTCGTTCCATGAATCATCAATGCTTTTGACGGCGCCGTCCGTTGCCGTCAGATGAAAAACACTGCCGACGGCTAAACTATGCCGACGGCTGACGCCCGGCCGTCGGCATAGGCCCCTATGCCGACGGTCTGACAAGACTACGCTGACGTGATCTACGCCGACGGGTCTATGCTGACGGCAGTCGTAGGCATAGAGCTATGCCGACGGCAAAGGACCTATGTCGACGGCCCTGGGCCGTAGGCATAGGCCACGAGTCCGGTAGTGAGTGCTGGTTGTTGGAGGAAGAGAAGACATTAGGGAGGAAGATGAGGAGGCCGAGGCGAGCTGATGGCGACCGGATTTGACGAGGAGGCACTCAGTGGGCGCCTCAAGCGACGGATCGAAGGCGGCTTGCATTAGGTCGCCTTCTCACGCATGCAGCGACCGTCGGTCGTCCGCCGCTCTCCCCACTGCTGAGTGCGTTGTAGTTGTGCATCATCCTCACCGCCATCACCAGCAGGACTCATCTGCTCGATGTCCTTTGCCCCTCGGAGCGAGAGGTGGCCAAGTGGTGAAGCATGGGAGGGCGAGCTCGCCGTCGCACGATGGGAGGCGGCAACTAGTGTGGAAGGGGAGGGGGCGGCGGCGACTCTCCTTGCGTGAAGAGACGAAGCCGATTGGGGAGAGGAGAGGAAGCCGATTGGGGAGAAACCCTATGGGCATTGGGTTTTCATACCACACGGTGAAAATGATGAAAATGCCTTCAGCGGGGCATGGGAATAACGACGGTGGCATAAAAATTTTACGTGGGGTGAAATTGTTCATTGCTACAGCGTCGTGGGTTCGGTCCGGCGGCCCATATCATTTCAGTGATAGATCGGACGGCCCAGATCGCATCAAGCAACTGAAACGGACGGCCGGATCTTTCAAATCGCTGAGGAGGCCGGGGTTCTCCCATCATTATTGTTTCTAGATCGCGGGTTCAGTCCAACGGCCTAGATTGTTTTAGTGCGAGATCGGACGGCCCAGATCACATCAAACAACTGAAACGGACGTCCGGATCTTTCAAATCGCTGAGGAGGCCGGGGTTATCCCATCATTCTTGTTTCTAGATAGGTTAGAATAACTCACCATGCCCTTTCACGAACTTCCTCCAACGCACTCGCATTAGTAGCAGAATTGCCAATCAAGTCCTCTTCGCTCCTCCCACAAAGTTTTTCCTGCGGCGATGGCATCCGGTTCAGGAATAGACCGGGACATCCAAAACAATAAGATGTGCATCAAGGGCTAGTGCTGGTTGCAGCCACGTCGACACAAGTCAAGTTGCGATTGGTGTACTGGAGAAGGGAGAGGGGAACAGCCAGAAGTGAATCGCCCACCCTAGCCCACGTTCCCCCAATCCCCATCCCCCGATTCCTCTCCCTTTCTCCATCGTCTGCCGCCACCACCACTCACCGGCCCGCGCCCTCCCTCGTAGCCGCCGCCAGCGCCCTCCCCCACAGCCTGCACCGCACCCCTTCTCTCCTCCCCTCCCCTTATCGTCATCATCGACGACTATACCTAGCCATTCCTCGGGCCAGGCCGGGCTTCGGGCCGGGCCAATCAAAGCCCGACGCAAAAAACCGGCCCGGCCGTCGGGCCTAAAAATCGGGCCTGAGCCCGGCCCATCACACTAAAAGCCCGTCGGGCCTCGGGCCACGAGCCGGGCCTCTTCCTTAAATGGCAAAATCGACGGGCCCAGGCCCGGGCTTCGGGCTCAAAACTTAGGCCCGAGCCCGGCCCATGGACAAGGTCGGGCCGGGCCGGATCGTGCTTTTTCGGGCTGGGTCGGGTCGGGCCGACCGGGCCGGGCTGCCCATGGCCAGGTATACCGACGACCTCATCGCCTTCCCCTCGCTCCAGATCGAGCAGCAGGTCCGGATCCACGACCAAGGCGGCGCGAGCGCCCCGATGTGCAGGTTCAAGCCGCGTGAAGAGGGTGCTCGTTGCGGCTCTAACCCTGGTGCCAACGCCATGAAGAAGGTGCCCTCTCCATCACTTCTCTATCTCAGTTTTCGATGTGGAGTTGATGTTGTTCATAAAGCTCCCTCCCTTCTATGCTGCAGGAGAACATCTCTCCTGTTCGTGAAGCATCCCCAACCCTAGCCCTTCTTTGCCCATGATGACCGAGCAGACAGGAGGTACTAATCCCTCCACTTATCTGGTTTTCTTCACCCCTTATGTGATGCGTGCTATCTACTTTTGTGCATGTTTCATGGAGAGGAGAAGCTGCTTCAATCCCATCTACTGAAGGAGGATGCCCACCATCCAAGGTGCTCAACATCATCACCATTTGTTGCCTGCCAAGGTAACTTCTCTGATCTGTTCTACTATGACCATTATCATATATGATGGAATCAAGAAAGAAATGAGCACCTGATATTGTTGACAATGTTAATACATTCATAATCTATCTTCCTAATTTCATCATTGTCGTTTTGTGTATTTAATTTAACCTATACATGGAGAAAAGGCAGGGTAAGCACAAGTATTTCTGTATCAAAGGTTATCCATCATCCTATCCACTCCAGCTCATTATTCTGCAATCGTTGGATAGTTGTCAGTACTGCTTAGGAGTAACGCACCATGTAGGATCACCCAACTGTTCGGTTTCTTATTTCATGACGTATATGCCACCAGTATAAGAATAAGCTTGACAGCGAAATCTTGGATAGTATGTAATACCCTTTCTGCATATTCAGAAACTGTATGCAAACACACTCAATTTGATCTAACTTTTGTTGATAGGCATAAACCACTACACAGCATTATATGCTAGGAACGACGGGATGCACGTTAGGAAACTTGTCATGAATGATGCTTCAACGGATGCTGCAGTCATCTCAACTGCTCAGTCATGATGAAAAAACATATGATAATCCCCATAATCCAGTGTCAATATTACTGATTTCTGCATGTGCTATGCAGCTTACAGGCATGGAAAGAAAATAGGAAAAATGATATACTTGCAGCTTCAGGTTCAATTGATAATACACAAATATTTGTCTACTTTCAGGCAGCATTGAGTTGGCTGCACATAGTTAGTTCCCTAGGGAATGTTCAGTCTGGTGAAACATGTTAAAAAGAAGTATGGAAATCTGCCTGTGTTCATTACTAAGAATGGTAGGTCGCTGAAGATTGTACAGTTGCCTGCCGATAAGATTTTGCCCTTAAATAAATTGTCAGTGATAATTAACTACTTATATATGGCAGGCTTGATAGGTTGGAAAATGTCTTCAAGATGATAAGAGGATACAGTACCACAACGTATACATGTTAGATGCTATAAGGTGATTTAATTTCTCTGTGCATATGCTAGAACTGAATGACCAACACTGAGCATCATCAATGTGTGCCACTGTAATCGCTGACCAGATTTGTACTTAAGTGCTCGATATGCAGCCTGAACTACTGCAAGAAATAGGGCTGCAACATCTGCGGTTACTTGTGTGGTTCTGACTATCCATGTTTATATTTAAATGTCATCAAGATCAGTATGGATGTGGAGCCATGGTTCTGCTCACTAGCGACAATGTGTATTCTTGCAGTTAGAATGGAGTTGTTTTAAATACTAGACTACCTACAGGACTGAGCACCCCAGGTGCGGAGGATAGTTCTTCCGATTAATCGTCGTGTTGAGGCAAGTGCACGACGGACCTTTTCTCCGTATACTTCACTGTGTTGTTGACGTAGGTACACACCCTCCCCTTTCCCCTACTTCTAGACCATCTCATCTATGTAGTCATGAAATTTCTTTTTTCTAAAATTTAATTCAGGTCTATGAAAATGAGTTGAGTAGTCTGATTAGAGGATGACGGAGGACGTCGAGATTTTGATCCAGTAGCCTTGCCCCCTTCTCGTTCGGCGTTCCACCTGCAGGAGGTTACGTTCGAGATCTTCAGAATTTTTAGGTACTCACTCTCCCTTGATGCTCTTTGATCGAGCCTACTTTGCATGAAAGCGTGCCAGTAGTAAGAAGTTTTAGCAAGTCTGTTACCGAAAGTGTTGTAGGCACTTATGTGATCCGAGGTGACCAACCTGAGCAGCAGTTTAGTGAAGGTATACTCAGACCCGAGGATCCTAGAAAATTATAAATTATAGATGTTTGCATAGCCAGATTATTGATGGGTGCATATTATTGTGCACACAAGCAAACTTAGTTGAGTAGTTCATTGATTAATTTGGACTAATTGAATGTGATCTTCCCAATCTAATATGTGTACTTCTAGCTCTAAGGACTAGAAAGAGTTAAATATTGCAGGTTGTAAATGATGGAACTCATATAACTGAATGTGAATGAAGTACCGATAGTTGCTAATTTCATACTTTTTGGTTTGTACAACTCAGGTATTTGATATAGTTATCCTAAAAAGGGAGAAGTCTCTGAGGTGATTTCTTCTTTTGCATGATAGATGGAACCAGCTGCGCCCCTCTCCCAAGAGTTGCAGATCCATGGCAGCAGCAGCGAGGTGAGCAGCGGCAAAGGCTCCCACCTAGCACCTCCTCTTCCATTGTCTTTTCAATCAAGATTGTTTCCAGTAATAAAATTTCATCTGTCTCATATTTCTTGTGATGTATCGTACACCAGCACATACAACCATATTCTGTCTGTCTCTGGCTATGCAATATTACCCTTTCACCCACCTTGACCTGCAATGTTGACATGTAATTTTGTTATTGCTCTATGATAGAAAATTACACAGTTGTAAAGCAGTTTATATTCTCTCATATGTGATGTTTCTATGATACTATAGGTCTTCTTCTGATCGACTGTCAAACAATACCAATTTCATGGTTTAAAAAATCAATAAGGAAATTTATTAAATGGAATTAGAAATGAAAAGGGTGTCGAATGCAAGTGATGTCTATGTTTGTTATCAGCTGCCCTATGGAGGTTCACTGGAAATTAATGTAATTTAAGCAGCCAAGTATTTTCCTAATAGTTATTGTCATACTAAATGCATGTTTTCTCCTGGTGTGATACACATATTGATCTTGTACTTCTTGTCTGCTAAAACTGGGAATCATAATATTCTCTTTCGTCCAGTAAGCCCCACTAATTAGAAAACTAGAAGGTTTGTTACGTTTCCGTAGTTTAATACTTTAGTGTTTGGTTACAGATATAGAAGAGAGTATTCCCTTGAACTAAATGATATTGAAGTTCCAATAGATACAATATTTACACTACTGGACTTGTGTGGAAGTTTCTTGTTCTATCTGATCTTTGTTATTATCATGGTTTATATCATTCTATCTTTTAGCCTAACGTCCGCTGTATGGTCATGTTTATCTCATTTGCTGCAATTATTACAATTTTGTTGTCATTAGTTATCACCTGCCAAATTGATGAGTTCTCAGTTTTCTGCTTCAAATGCAGAGGGACCAGGCTCATACTTTGTGCAGAAAGGGAAAATAAACATCAATGTTCTGAATCAAGGCACTATTGAGCTTTGCCACTATGATTCCAAACTACATTTTTGTTCTTCAAAGTGCACCTATGATTTGCTGCTGGTAACAGATGCTCAAATGGTCGAGCATGTATGGAGTCACTTGCAGGACACTCGAGGAAGAGCTGGTTGATGCTGGGCTCAATTCTGAAACTATAGCAGAGCTTGTCACTGTATGTTTCATGTATTTCTTTTCCTTGCTTCATCTAAATTTGTAGCTCACAGTTTTCTATATTAGTGAAATTTCCAAGCTATGCTATGCTCAGATAGTTGTTCTGGAATATATGCTACCTTATTACTTCATATACTACTACTACATGTATTGGATCTCAATTCGTAGCCGTGCTTGCCAGCTGCTCCTCCCTCCGCCTCTGGATGCGGCGACCAGCTAGGGTTCATCGGTCGCTGCCAAACCAGATAGTGTGCTTTATATGGTTTGATTAATGTAGCGTCTTTCTTCTAATTCAGATTATTATATTGACTCCAAAACTTTGTTCCTGACTACGTATGTTACTTTCTTCAGTTCCTGTTATTGTTCGTCTCTCACCAGCTGTGGGAAAGATGATGTTTTCTTTCTTGCAAATTTGTCAGAAGAGCACCTATGTAAGCTAATGATTGTCTGCGACAAATTTGTCTAAGGAAAAAAGCATTCTTCTGACAAAACTGCATGGTCTCAGTTCACTAAACTGAAAAGGACTTAATAAACAAAGTACTAAATGCAGCGATTACGGTTTCAACCTGACATTATCATATAACCTTGCTTCTCATGGATCTCCCGACATTTTCCTAAACAATGGTTAGTATACTAAAAAATCAACTATTGTTACGGAGATCTGAACCTGAAATTGCCCTATGGGGTATTAACACTTAAATATCGTGCACAATCATGTACACTAAATGTTTGGATAAGAAGTAGGATGTTCTTGTTTAACATAGTTTACTGCAGCAAATACTTTGTATGTGCTTCCAGAGTTCTCTTGCTTTGCCGCTTATGTTGCATCCTTCTAGAACCTAGCAGCAAACTGCTGGAGGTAATGTAAGGTCCTCCCTTCCATTGCCTGGTTTGCTGCCAATGCTCACTAATTTTTTACATTTCTTCCATGGCACAAAGTCCTCCAGCAGTGTTGATATGTAGCTGCTTCTTCTACCGATGTTATTCTGGCATTAGGAACTACTCGCCTATAAAAAAAATTCTCTGCAAATTAAATACACATGCATAATCTATATTTTATTATCTGCAATTCTGGTTTATTTTATAAGTATTGGTTGAGTTCCACTTTATTATCCAAGAACTTATCTATTTCTTTGATTTTCCTGAACTTGCGATCGGCTGGGACTGGTCGGGCCAGGCGTATTCCACCGCTCCGTACGATGGCGGGTCGCGAAGGACCCTTGCCACCGGGGAAGAAGACGGTGGTGCCTCAGGGAGTCGGCCGCCCTGGGACTGTGCCGCAGCAGGGCAGCGGCGGAGGCCGCGGCGCTGTGCTGCCGCTAGCCGCGGGGGCTGGTATGCTTCCTTCGGCCACTGGCAGTGGCCGCGGCGCTGCGTTGCCGGTGCCTGGGGCTGGCCGCGGGGGAGTGCTTGCTCAGCCCGCCGATAGGGGCTTGGCTCCGGTCGGAACTGCTGTGGGCCGGGGCGGTGTGTTGCCCGGTCCCAGACCGACGGCGCCAGCTCCGGTGGGTCAGCGGCCTCCGGCGCCGGGTGCTTCAGGAACCAGCAATGCGGGCCGGGGAGGTGCTGCGCTGCGGCCCCCTGCTCCGGGGTTGCAGACCGGCCAGCCGAGGCCAGCACCGCCTCCTCACCTCGTCGCCAGGCCTCTGCAAATCAGAGCCGGGACGGTGCAGCAACAGGCAATTCCAACGACTCAAGCCACAGTTGCGCCTTAGGGTCAGTGGGGTGATGATGGGGTCAATGCGTATGGATCTGGTAAGCACCGTGGATCCTCATCGACTGGCGGCGGTCGAGGCTATGCTTGGCAGAGCGATGGCTCAGCGGAGCGCCCGTTCATGGGGCCCCCAGGAAGTTTTGTTGAGGGGGCGTCTGGCCCTGGTCTCCGGCCGCGGGGTGGTTTCCGCGGTCATCGTGGTGGGCGTGGGGGTCGAGGTGGCCGGTACCGCCCACGACCGCATACTACGTCTGTGATTGATCTGATGGTGGTTGATGGGGCTGTTGAGCAGCAGGTTTTGACTGGCCAAGCATTGGAGGTGGTCTCGGCGCTTGCCAATGCTGAGATTCCCGGGAATGAATCCGGGTTGACTGTGTCAGTGGAGGATTCTTCTAGGGCTGAGTCTGAAAGAGCATCCAAATATGCGCGCAAGAAAGAGAAAATGCTTTGTTATCGATGTGGTGGTAAGGGACATTTTATTGCTGAGTGTGTGGCTGAGCTGTGTGGCACTTGTGTCAAACCAGCACACGATTCGGGGGACTGTCCATTTCTGAGAGATCAGGCACCATCACTCATGATGCATGGAGTGTACTGTGCTGAACTTACGTTCTTTGAATCTCCAACGGAGATGGAGGTTCCTGACGAGACTTTGAGTTTGACGACTGGGTTAGTTAAGATTGCTAGAGGAGAGGTCTTGGAGGCACAGATTATTCAGAGGCTCAAGGAGTTAGCCCCTGGGGATTTCAGGTGGGAGCTTGCTAGTGTCGAGGACAAACTGTTTCTGGTTGAGTTCCCGTCAGTTGAGGAACTTCAGAGACTACTGAGTTTCGGGATGTGCAAGGTGCCAGGTACTGATGGCATGCTTGAGTTTCACGAGTGGAAGAGGATTGAGCCTACGGGCAAGCCTCTGACTCAGGTTTGGCTGCGATTCTCTGGGGCTCCATCCAAGCTGATGCGGGATGCACGGGTAGTGGCCAGTTTGGGTATCATGGTGGGCAGACCAGAGCGCATGGATATGGACTTTACCAGAGCCCACGGGATTGCCCGTTTACTGGTCAGTGTGCTGAACATCGAGTACGTCCCTGAGGTGGTTAAGTGGGCATATCGAGGCCACATATATAACCTTGTCATTGAGTTCGAGGATGAGAGTCTGTTTGCCGAGGCGGCCAACGGGTCTGATACTGATATGCACGAGGATGATGATAGTTCGGCACTTAAGGAGGCACCAACAGCTGACAGTGGGCGTGAGTTGTCCACTCCGCAGGGTGCTGACTCTCACACGTCTGTGGATGTGACGGCTCCTCCTTCTACAGTGCCTACGACTATTCTCAGATTCAGTTCTTTCGAGCCGGCATCTGCACCCCCGAGACTATGGAGTGATCGGGTGGAGTCTGATGAGGTGTTCGAGCACTCGCTCCCAGTTCTGGAGCTTGAGGAGCCAGTGATTCCTCTTCTTGGGGAGTTGTCGATCTCGGTCAGGGCTGAGGCGGAGGAGGTCGTTCTTGTAGGAGAGGGTCTGAAGCTGGTGACTTCGGATTCCTCCCCTCTGGTCGCGATTTCGCAGGTGCAGCCGATGGTGCCGGCTGCTGATGGGGGTGTGGGGCAGGTGGCCTCGGTGCCCTCATCAGGGCCTGCGGTGGGTGAGCTACCGATGGTGCAGATTGATTCTTTGGGAGGGAGGCCGAGGCTGCTAGATCCGGCACCTTCTTCCCCTTTTACCGGGCCGGCGACGCTGGCGCCGGAGTCGCTTCTCGGAGAGGACTCGGGGAAGGTGGCCTCGGGGTCCTCTTCTCTTGTGGAGCCCAAAGGGGCTTGCTCGCCGATGCCGCTGGTGCCGCCAGTTGGCCCTTGGGCCGGGGTGGATGGGGAGCTCGGGCAGGAGGCCCTGGCTCCACCTTCCCCCGGCTTGGGGCACTCCAGTAGAGCTTCTCGGGAGGAGGTGATTTCTTTCGGTGGTATTCCGGATCCGGTCTCTGAGGGGCAACGGTTGAGTAGCTGTTTCCAGGACCATCCGAAAGTGGACGACATTCAGCAGCGGTGCGCTATGAGGGCGGCCAAGCTTCATGACGTGGAGGTCACTACTGGTATGTCGAACAATACCTCTAATTCTATTTTGCATTTTTCAAATGATGAGATTATAAACAATGCAAATAAGATAGGAATTTCACTAGGTAATAATGATAGTGAAATTTCAAACTCGGTTAATGATATGCTGGATTTAGAGGCCGAACGAGCGCTTGAGATGATTCGTAACTTAGCTGCGGTTAAACCAATGAATAATTCCGAGATTGATGCTTTGGGGGTCAGGGTGCTCGATAACTTTTGTGCGGATCTTGCTCATCCGTCTCCTGAACCTGAGGAGGAGGATGAGCGAGTGGACTTTGTAGAGGTGTGCGCCTCTGAGACTGGTTGTGAGGACTAGCTGGAGAGTTTCAATATTCCTAAACGCAAATGGAAGCGGAAGATCTACCCAGACTCCGCAGTGCGTAGGAGCGCGCGGATAAGAACGGCTAAAAAATTCCATGACGAGATATGAAAGGAATTTTTTGGAATAGCAGAGGTCTGAAAGACTTGGCTAAAAAAAGGTTTCTTGCTGAGACTTCTATTGAGCATAGGTTGGACTTTATCGCTTTATCGGAAACTGGTAGAGCCGACTTTTCGCCTCAATTTCTCAATACGCTTTCGGGAGGTATTGATTTTGATTGGCATTGTCTACCGCCGCGAGGAAGATCGGGTGGGATTTTACTCGGAGTTAGATGTGATTCGTTAGAAGTCCGAAGCGTGGTCATGGGGGATTTCGCTGTTAAGTTTAGGGTGAGGTCAAAGACCGATGGGTTTAACTGGGCTTTGGTGGCGGTATATGGTGCCGCACAGCCCGAGCTTAAACCAGATTTTTTGGCTAATCTGGTTAGGATTTGCGGTTCTGAACAACTTCTTATCCTGGTGGGGGGTGATTTTAATATCATCAGAAGGCGTGATGAGAAGAATAATGATAATTTTGACGGCAGATGGTCGTTCATGTTTAACACAATCATTGAAAGCCTGGATCTGCGTGAGATAGAGCTTTCGGGCAGGAAGTTTACCTGGGCTAACGCCTTGCCAAATCCGACGTTCGAAAAGCTAGATCGAGTTCTGGCTAGCGTCGAATGGGAACAGAAATTCCCATGTGTAACAGTCCAGGCACTTTCTCGTGGTATTTTTGATCACACGCCGTTATTCCTTGACTCTGGGGAGGCCACCCATGTGG